GATAGCCTCTTCCACATGGATTTCCATTTACTTCCCTAGGTTTTGGACGTTCTCTGCTGTTATTTCTTTGAACAAACTTTCTGCTCCATTCTCCTTCTCTTCTCCTTCTTGGATACCTATAATTCTTATGTTGCATTTCCTAATTGAGTTGGCTATTTCTTAGAGACTTTTTTCATTTCTTTTTAGTCTTAGTTCTCTCTCCTCGTCTATCTGGAGCTTTTCAACATGTCTGTCTTTGATTATGCTGATACACTCCTCTATGATGTCCACTAGAGCGTTCAGGGAATCTATATTTTGTTTTATTTCTTCCATTGTGTCTTTCATCTCTGATACTTCTGATTGATTCTTCTTTATAGTTTCAATTCCATATGTGAAGTAGCTCCTGAACTCATTGTTTCTCTACATTCTCTTTTAACGCATTGAGGTTTTTGATGATCGCTATTTTAAATTATTTGTCATTTAGATTATATATTTCTGTGTCCTCAGGACTGATTTCTGGGTACTTGTCATTTTCTCTCTGGTCTGGAGATCTAATATAATGTTTGATATTGCTAGAGGGAGTGGCTCTGTTTTTTTCACATCCTGGTGTTATTTGGTTGCAGTTACCACCTATTGCCACTGGGAGGGGGTCAAGAGCTGTGGCTGCTGAGCCCTCTCCCTTCAGCTGAGATCCCAGGCGGTGGAGTTGGGCTGGGTGGGTGGGGGGAGGGGGTGCTTTCTCCTGTGTGCTCTTGGGGTTTTCTCATTCTGCTCTTGCTGTCTGCTCTCCTGGTGTGTTGGCTTGAGAAGGTCACCCCCCCATGAAAGCTTTTGCCCTGGAAGAGGGCTTCTCTCTAGGCTGCAAGGGCCCACCAGGGATCCTTGATGTTCCCCACAAGCAAATGTCCCCTCCTCCGTTCATTCCCTCTCAGAGGCCTCCTGTGTCCCAGATCACAGTCTGTAGGGGAGAGAGTGAAGTTTTCTCTTACCTTGTTCCGCCTCCTCCAAGGGGGGGCTCCAGCCTCTCCGCCCTCCATCATATGGCTGTGTGGGTCTCTCTGATGTTTTTTGTGTTGTGTTTGGATGTCCTCTGTTGGAGTATGAATGTCGTTTTCATTGTATGTTGGAGGGGAGAGATTACTGGGGAAGCTCACTCCACCATGATGCTGACGTCACTCCATACTGTGTATTTTTATTTACAAATTTCCTTCTTCTTATAAAGGCACTAGTCATTATATTAGGGTCCATTTTAATCCAATATGGCTTCATCCTCACTTGATTACATCTGTGAAGACTCTGTTTACAAATAAGGTCATATTCACAGGTACCAACCAGAGGTTAGGACTTGAATATATATTTGGGGGAGACAAAAGTCAATCCACAACAATATCTATGTACATCATATCAGATTAAATAAAGAAAGGATGATCTTTGTCAAGAGTTTTTATTTTTTCTAAAATCTGTCTGATGTTAAAGTAGATGAAGTGGTTTTTTTCAAATATGAGGAATAGAATTTTTTAAAAATTGCTATCATAGTTCTCCATTGATATTTTTCTCTAATGATAGAATGTTGGAACCTAAGGAAATACAGCCAAACAAACTAAAGTAGCAAGCAAATAATACTCTGCCAGGATTTGTAATTGAGTTATAAAGATAAAGCATTCATACATGACATAGTTAACAAAACAATCATAGTGTCATATGATTACCGACAAAACTGAGTGATAGAACATTACTTTGGGAGTAGGTTGGAAATAGGCAAGTAGAGGTGGTATCACTCCAGTTGAGGAAGGAGGGTGAAGATGTAGGTTGAAGTTTGGAGTTAATGAGAAACATAATGTATTCTGAGAACCATGAGGACATTCAAGTGGCTGGAATAATTTTGGTGTATTTAGGACATGGTTAAAAGCAATGTTAGGAAGATAAATTTGAATCAATTATTGAAAACTTTGAATGCTAGATTAATGAGTTCAGATTTTAATGCATTGTTAATGCCAGGGTCTAATTCTTTTCTCCAAGAAACTGGGCCACTGGCTTTTCTCACAACTGCAATCACGTGCTTATCCCTAGCCTTGTGATTGATTTTAAATGTTGGCTTCCTACCAGTGAATTCACTAACCAGGTATTTGCTCCTAATTTCTTGTTTCATAAAACTGAGACTTTGTTCAATTTTCTAGGACTCTACTTTATTCATATCTCTGGTAATTCAGATCTCATTTAGGAGCAGGAATCTACATTGCTTGTGCCAGTTTCTTCATTAAGAACTTTAGTCTTGATTTTAAGCCCAAGCCCAAATGACTAAGGCTGTGCTGATCAGGTTAGATTCCAAAAATGACCTACAAGCCTAAATTTCAGTTATTAGCTCTCTAATTTCCCAATTCTGTGTCCTACCCTTTTCTTGGGACATAATGCTTCATTGACTTGGTCATGGATACAAACACATCAACAATGTAACTTATATAATAGGCTTAGTATTCTTTTAGTAACTACTAATAGGAACCTTCACACACTCATTCTGCCATAGGTTTCCAGGGCCCTACATTCTCTTGCTACAAGTAATCAGGAAATGCTTTGCTTTCTCATATATCTCTCAGACTAGTCAGAAATATTACTAACCAGCTTATATCAATCACCCCTTGTCTATGGCCAGTTTTCAATGGGATTGATTGCATTTTCCATAAAGCATTTGGAAATGAAAACGAAGCCTGTTTACTTAAGGATCAGAGCCTCCTAAGACAAGAAACCACTCATATTCTGCATGTTCTCACTCTTCAAACAGATGTGGTTGATAATAGGGGGGATATTAATCCCTTTCTGGAGTCATGGCTTCATTATGCCTTGTTTTTATTATTTGGCTTGTTTACAGGGGAAGAGTTAAAATTGTGTTGGATTTTCAAAGCAACATGTGGACCAATGAACCATGAACTGCAGCACCCCATGCTTGGGACTCAGCACCCTACCACACTGCCTGACCCTCTCCAATCCATTAGAAGCAAGCTGCTTCTCACTGCTCCAACTCTTAACAGGCCTATTAAAGTAAAAGATTAATTTTAATCAACTTGTTTACTGTTAAGACCTTGCCAGAAGAGTAGGAGGTATAAATCATTGAATCAAATGCTTTTGCTTATTTAGGAGAAAAATGTCAAATGTTAGAATAGTCTTATAGCTCCACCTCCTTGGGCAATGCAAAGTTATTCTTAATTCTTCATACATTTTGATGTAAACACACTCACATTATAAACCTTAAACACAGAATGATTTTTGTGTCCCATTTTCAAAGGGAGAAATGCATAGTATAGTTTGTTGAATTGTGTTCCCCCAAAATACATATTGGAAATCCTAACCTCTTGTTCCTGTGAATATAACCTTACTTAGAAATAGGGTATTTTCAATGTAATCAAGCTAACATGAGGTCATTAGAGTGGTCTGTAACCCAACAAGACTGGCATCATTTTAAGAAGAGGGAAATTTAGACACAGACGTATAGAGGGAGGAGAATAACATGTGAAGACACGGGCACAGGAAGAAGACAGCCATGTGACATGGAGGCAGAGTTTGGAATGATGGATATACAAGACAGGGAATGCCAAGGCTTGCTGGCAAACACCAGAAGCTAGACAAGGCAAGAAGGTACTATTCTCCTCCTTGGTAATTCTCCTGCTCCTCCTGCAGGTAAACTCTTGCAGGTTTCAGAAGGCCTATGGTGCCGCCAACACCTTGATTTTGGTCTTCTAGCTTCCAAAACTCTGAAACAGTACTTTTGTGTTGTTTTAAGCCACCCGTTTGTGGTGTTTTGTTACAGTAGCCTCAGGAAACTCATCGATTGTTGCCAAAAAACCTCCCAAAGTACTGACTGCCTCCTCCCACTTTTCCTTTTCTTTCCTCCAAAGTAAGTTAATTCCAAACAGAAATTTAAGAAAGTGGTACTAGAACTGTGAAGTTCTACTATGAGATAGGTAGCAAGAAGCCAGTGAGTGTTTTCAAACATGATAAACTTGGGGTTTTATTGTGATTTTTTTTTTTTTTAAGATTGGTACCTGAGCTAACATCTGTTGCCAATCATCTTCTTCTTTTTCTCTTTCTTCTTCTTCCAAAAACCCCCCCAGAAGGACCATGGAGGTCCTTCTAGCTGTGGCCTGTAGGACGCTGCCTCAGCATGGCATGACAAGTGGTGCTAGATTTGCGCCCAGGATCCAAACCAGAGAAACCCAGGGTCCCAGAAGCAGAGCATGTGAACTTAACCACTTGGCCATGGGGCCAGCACAAACTTGGGGTTTTAGATCTATCTTTCAAACTGATTGGGACTTTAAGTGCATTCATTAAGTAAAACTAGATGCATTGTGAAAGGAATGGAGGGAAAGAGGGAGAAAGGAAGAAAGATACAAATGATGAAAAGAATGGAGAAATGAAGGAATTTTCCCAAACAAATAGTAAGACATAAAGCAAAAATGAAGATGAAAGTAGAAATGAGAATGGCATGAAATGGATTTTAGAGACCTTTTAAAAGAAGAATTGACAAAATTTATTCACAAAACATACACATTTACATTAATCTAGGAAGTGAAAAGGGCAAATTAACCCTGGTACTCCAAATTTGAGTGAGAAAAAAATCATTCAGTTGATTATGTATTGTTGGCATTTGTAAAGGGAAGTTTATTTGTGTGAGATACAAAGGAGAAAATAAAGAGTTGTGTTTTGATGTAATTGACTTAGGGTACACTGGGTGTATCAATTAGATATTGAATTTAGAAAGTCATTACACAGACCTGAAAAACAGAGGCATGAGTGGGACAGAAGCTGCCCATACCTGGCTCTTTGGAGTGTGCATATATTAACAGTCATCCTGGCTCATCCAGTACTTTGCTCTGCCATCCTTAGACTTTGATTCTTATCCTTCTACTTTTAAAGTGGCTTCTTGAGCCCCAGTCTTCACATCCAAATTCCAGGCAGGAAAAAGGATAAAAAAGAAGAAGGATAAGAGGCATGCCAACTCTGTCAATCCTTAAAAAGTTTTTTTCCAGGAACCACATCTAACCACACCCCTTCAAATCATCTACCTGCAAAGAAGGAGGGGAAACCCAGATGTCAGCAGAACAGAGGAGCGGAAGGATATTGGGTCAGTAACTAGCTGTCTCTGCTGCCAGGACATCCCTGCTAGTTCACTTTATTTAATTGCTGCAATATGATCTAATTCTGACTCCTTGCCAGTGGGCCAGCTCCAGTGCTTTAAGGAATTTTCTTTTCAGACTCTTTTGAGAAAGCCTGTAGAATAAAGCTAGTAAATTATGAAGTACAGTGATTTTTTTGTCTAAACTTTTGCTTATTTATATGCCTTCATGTGTATTTCTGCTTTCTGAAGAGTGGTATAAATCATTTTTGTCATGTTTTCAGTAGTCTACATTTCTCTTATATTTTACATTAATATGTAATGTAACTTAAATTAACAAGTAATGTTAACATGGACAATTAAGTTGACTTTATCCTGAAGTTCTGAATACATAGCTGTTTTATCTTTGAATAGGATATAATCCATTCATTTTTCCTATTCTGCTAGTCATAGTGTGACAAAATAAGCAAACGGTGACTTTTCAAAATGTGCATCATTTGATTGCTTTGCTCAGAACATCATGTGAGAGCATAATATCCTAAATTATATCTCAATTATAGTTAATTATCTAATTTCCCATTGTCCCATGTATCTCTTTTACACATTTTCAAGTAAAAGGAAACAGAGTAGTTCATTCAACATTCACGCAACAAATACTTATTTAATTCTTTCTGAGTGCCAAACATTATGTTCAACTGTGAAGACAGATTCATGGGTAAATAAAACAAATTTAGAATCAATACTTTTCAAGAAGTTTGTACTAGAGCAAGTTACTTTATCTACAGGGTCTAAAAATATGTGTGTGTGTATATATATATATATACACACACACATATATATATATATACACATATATATATACACACATACCCAGTTTTGTTCAGAATTTTCTTGGTTCAAAATAAATGTATTCTAAAGATGGAGAAGGCGTGGTATGGAGGTAAAAGGTGCTGAGTTGTATTCGCACTGGTTCGTGCTTGTCTGGACCACCCATTCAGCCTGCGATTTCATACTGTGCGGTGGTGTGTGTCAGGATGAATTGACCCTCCCTCGGAAAGTGACTAAAACTAAAAAAATAATAATAATAGCAGTCAGTTTAGAAAGTACTTTCAGAAATATTTTCTAATGTAGAGGTCAGTGGTTTGCCCTTAAACTCATAATTCTTGATCTGTTTAAAATAATGTCTTGTCTGTTATTCATCATGTTGCTTCCCAGGAGCACTTTTAACTCTCGTCGAGTTTTACTGGATGTAATGGAGATTCAACTGGTGTGTTAGCAAATGTTTGGAAACATTATAATTTCATTTGGAATTTATTGAATTGGCACAAAGACTAAGCTAATGAGACACACGCAGATTTAGTCGTATGCCTCAAACCCCTGTGTTCGCTTGAAATTTAATTCAAGAGGATAGTCTTAAAATGTACCTGTAGAAAAATTTCTCTAGGCCAGAAGTATAAAAAGTCCTTAATAGCATATTTAAAATTTAAGCAATTAACATATCTATATGGATTAACATGAAAGTAAATTTGAGAATACGTCATATAAATAAAAAGACAAAGGCAATGTTAAGATTTTAACTTATTTTCAGTTCTTAAAAAACATTAGTAACATAGGCTGTGGCTGAAATGTTGAAGTTTCCAAATACGGAGAATATTGTTTTCTACTTAACGCTATAGAGTATAAGAACACAGATTCAATGTGATAACAGATAGATAGCAAAATGTTGTAATTCAAAGGCCCAAAAATTCGATTTCTAATTTAACCATGTAGTACAATTTGGTTGCTTCCAATGAATGGAATTGTAGGACTTGCAGTATCTGACAAAGGGAGAAACTGTTTATGGACTATGTGTAATATGGTCAGCTGTTTAAGGAATTCCCAGGACACGAAAAGGCTATGATGGTATCGAATCATATCAATTATCTGCTGGTGGGCAGATGATTTATTATCAGATAATAAAAAAAAATATGAAACAAAGCAATAGTGTTTCACTGAGTTCCAATTCAAAGAAGTGTATCACTGTGACCACTAAATCAAATTAAACATCTGTCCTGTTAATCAACTTAGACTTTCGTTACAGACATGGCCATTATGAGGTATGGGTAAAGTGAGGAAAATCTTAGTAAGGTGTGAGGGCTCAGTGGAGAGATATTTTTGCCTTCAAAGAGTCTCCAGATTTTCCCTCATCCTCAAGTAATTTTCACTTGCAAGATTTCAAGCTTTGCGTCCTGACCTGATCTGAAGCAAAGCAAAAGGAAAATTTATACCAAATGGGAAATTGCTCTTTCCAACGAGCATGAGGTGAAAAAGGTACATCTATCCTCAGTTATAAGACAAATAAAGACTACAAAAAACAAGACTGTAAGGCTTAATTAATAGATAAAATATTAATTGAGTTCTAATTTCTCTTTCTTTCAGAAGAGCAGCAGTTATAGCATCTCAAAGAGCGAGTGTTATGGACAAGAGCCCCGGCGAAGGCCACTGTGCCGTGTGACACCTCCGATGCCTCATTTAGAGGGATTTCAAAAGGATTAAATAATGTATATAAAGCATGCAACAAGGGTTAAAAAAAAGTTAGCTATTATTAATATTACCATCATAAAGCACAAGATTAATTTGTAGAAAATAATTTGACTTACAAACATTAATATATGTTAGCCTATATCTGGGAGCCTCCAATCGAATACTATATATAATAGTGCCCCTATTATAGTTTTGATCATTTCTAATACTCTTAATTTTGAATTCATATTATTTGATTTAGTGGGATTTAAATATAATAAATAAAATGAGGGGGCCGGCCCTGTGGCCGAGTGGTTAAGTTCGCGTGCTCTGCTTTGGTGGCCCAGGGTTTCCCCTGTTCAGATTGTGAGCATGGACTTAACACCACTCATCAAGCCATGCTGAGGCAGCATCCCACACAGCAGAACTAGAAGGACGTACTACTGGAATATGTAACTATGTACTGAGGGGTTTTGGGGAGAAGAAGGAAAAAGAAAACATTGGCAACAGATATTAGTGCAGGGCCAATCGTAAAAAAAAAATAGAAAATGACTACATGTATGAATTCACCTATTTTTAAAACAATCTTCACTAAATTGAGTTAAAATATTTTGGTAAAATATAACCAATAATATCATCCCTCTCATTGATAAGGAAAAAACAGCTATGATTTATGCAAATGTTTTTGTATTTACCTAAAATTGGCAATACACTCATTGGCTGAATGATCATTAAGGAGTATGTGGGTGACAAAATAGTTTGAGACGTGATGTTATAGCCATAGTGATTTGCTCTCAAATATCTGTGAAGTAGTAGCTACCATTAATATGGTCACTATTAAACACAAGATTAATTTGTGGAAAATGATTTGACTCACTGGTTGTAATCATGTCAGCTCATACACTGGAGTTTCCTATCAAAGACTGTATTACAATGGTCGTCATGAACTTTTGGCCTATGAGAAATTTGAATAGAGCAAAAGATCCCAGGAATCATCTATCTTGCTGCCTCTAGGGGAACAAAAGGCTATATATTGGTTAATTTGCAGAATCCACAGAATGAAGTCCAGATTTTGTGATAAAATATGAGTTCATTCCAACCCTCCGATTGTTTCTGTCCTACTATAAACCAAATGCTCAAGATATTAGTCTGCAAATTATAGATATTATTCTATAAGATGTTGAAGAATCAGTCTTATTTGCTTGGTTGAAGTCTGTCTCAATTTAGGGTCACTATTTCCTCCCACTACATACTGTGTTCTTATATAAAGACAACTATATATCATTTCCTAGTCCCTAACTAAAATTACAAAAATGTATCTAAATAAATAGTTACATAATTTATGCGAAGGAGGGTGTTTTTCAAGTGTATTTTAATTACAAAGTGTGTTTGTTTTTTGTGCGCTAACTATTTAAAACACAGCAAGGAAAAGATATTGTAATTACCAAGGAATTACAAGCAAAAATCTCTGGAGGGGGAACACAAGTTACAGAATGAAAAAGAAAAGAGAAACATCACAGTAAGAAGGGACGCAAAGGAGTATATTCTAGAAGAATTCGAAATAAAGTTGCCGGATAAAATAAAAGAAGCCCAGTTAAATTTGAACTTCAGATAAACAAAAAAAAATTTTCTAGTATAAGAATGTCTCACACAATATTTGTGACATACTTATACTAAAAATTGTTTTTCTAAAATACAAATTTAACTAGACATCCTGTATTTTTATTTGCTAAATCTGACCTTCGTTCTCAAAACAATTTTTTTTATTTTTTTTGAGGAAGATTAGCCCTAAGCTAACATCTGCTGCCAATCCTCTTCTTTTTTGGCTGAGGAAGACTGGCACTGAGCTAACATCTGTGCTCATCTTCCTCTACTTTATATGTAGGATACTTGCCACAGCGTGGCTTGACAAGCAGTGTGTAGGTCCGCACCTGGGATTGGAACTGGTGAACCACGGGCTGCCAAAGCGGAACGTGCAAAACTTAACTGCTGCACCACCAGGCCAGCCATTCTAAACAATTTCAGAAATAAAAGGAAATGGAAATGAAAAATGTTTAACAAATTAACAAATACAGGATGAATGAAACATGTGGTCAATTCAAATGCTATGGTTTAAAAATAAAATTCATGCTATTATTTAAAGTAAGGTAAAAACACAAGTAAGAGATGGTTATATTTTTTACATCACAAAGAATATCATGGAGGCCATTTATATATAAAATAATCTTTATATGTTTTCTGAATATTTCATATATGTCAACCATTTTAGCTATCAGTTTAATATGATGTAACAGGAACATTTAAATGGTAAAGTATAGGTGGGTTTTTTACTAAGAAGTTATTTTCTAGAGAAATGTCATTTCCCTGTAAACCAAAGGAGCCCTTTTTATATTCAAGTATTCTTTACATATTCACAGACCATTTTTCTTCATCATCTATGGCACTTGGAGATATTAATTGAATTATTGTTTATAAATACAGATCCTACAAACATGCCGAAGACTCTGAAATTGCTGATGACAGAGTTCATGAGTAATTATAAATATTTAAATAAAAGCCAAAAATACAGCTGCTCTGTTTAGTTGCTAATGCTTACAAGAAAATATTTATATCCATTTTGTTTTAATCTGAAGCCATTATACTCAGAAAGCTATACAGAAAATTGGCTGTATTTTTAAAAAATTTAGATGTATTATTTCTTACACATTAGGCAACCTCTCCAGAACCAAGTATGTATGCATCTTAGGGTTTTAGAAAACTACAAATTAACATTTTTATTTAAATGCCTTCTAAGACTAACACACACACACACATAGAAAGAGAAAAGATATGAGAGTGAGAGGAGAAATAGTATTTCATTTACATTTAAAAATCACATGTGGTCTAAAGCAGGGTTTCACAAACTTGGTACTGGTGACACTTTTGGCTAGATAAATTTTGGGGTGTAGGGAGTGCTTATACTATGTGTTATGGGATGTTTAGCAACCTCCTTGTCTTCTACCCACTAGATGTCAATAGCACCCTCCAAGTTGTAACAGAAGTGTCTCCAGACATAGCCAAATGTCCACTGGGGGGATCAAAAGTAGCATGCACATTTGCCTTTGGTGCTCTAGTATATCAATTTGGCTATTTAATCATTAGTAGCACTGAAAATAACAGCTCTATTTATTCAGTGCCCAGTATGTGCTGGTTATACACCATCTCTAATCATCACAGTCACAACACATAAGTGCAATTCATCTTATTTTTTAAATGAATTTTTTTAGAACATTTTAAGATTCACAACAAAATTGAGAGGAAGGTATAGAAATTTCCCAGATCTCCCCTCCTCCCACACATGCATAGCCTCCCCCATTATCAACATCCCCACCAGAGTGGTACATTTGTTACAACTGATGAACCTACATTGACACACCATAATCACCCAAAGTCCGTAGTGTACATTAAGCTTCACTTGGAGTTGTACATTCTATGGGTTTGAAAATTTATAATGACATATATTCATCATTATGGTATTATACACAGTATTTTCACTTCCCTAAAAATCCTCTGTGCTTTGCCTATTCATCCCTCCCCACTCCTGAACCCCTGGAAAGCTCGTCTTTTGACTACTTCATTATTTTGCCTTTTCTAGAACGTTACATAGTTGGAATCATACAGTATGTAGTCTTCTCATATTGGCTTCCTTCCCTTAGCAATATGCATTTAATGTTCCTCCATGTCTTTTCATGGCTTGATAGCTCATTGCTTTTTAATACTGAATAATCTTCCATGGTCTGGATGTACCACAGTTTATTTATCCACTCTTCTACTGAAGGACGTCGTGGTTGCTTCCCAGTTTTGGCAATTATGAATAATATTGCTATAAACATCTGGGTGCAGGTTTTTATATGGATATGTTTTCAACTCCTTTGGGAAAATAACAAGAATTGCAATTGCTGAATGGTACGGAAAGAGTATGTTTAGTATTGTAAGAACTTTCTAAGATTTTTAAATGTTTCCCGAACATTTTGTTTATTCTGATTGAATACTCAGAGTCCTTTTAAAATATTTTATTTTATCAAGCAGTCACCCTCTTTAGATTTAACACGCGGATCCTGACCTTCTTTTGTTAATGTTTGCAGTGTGATTTTGGTCCTCTTGGTTTCTCTGATGCTGCTGGGGCTCCCATTTGCCTGAAGGGGCATTCCTGTGAGTCAGCATCCTCTCTAATCAACATGTTGCAGAAAAGTGTTTACACACAACATCCAGAGAAGAGGTAAATGACATCATCTGGGGGGGGGGGGGTGGTGTGGGGGAACAAATGTGGTTTAAGGGAAAAACAATGCATTTAAGAGGGTGTTTATGGGGTGGGTCTGGTGGCATAGTGGTTAAGTTCGAATGCTCCACTTCGGCAGCCTGGGGTTGTGGGTTTGTGTCCCAGGCACGGACTATGCTGTGGCAGCGTCCTATATACAAAAAATAGAGGAAGACTGGCATAGGTGTTAGCTCAGGGACAATCTTCCTCACTAAAAAAAGTTTATGTTTTCATGATTAGAAATCATTATAATAAAAAATATATTCAGAAAACAAAATATGTTACCGATTTTTTTAGTCTTAGGAATGGTTATGCTTAAAGAACCTAATTTTGTTAAGTTACAAAATTGCCTACAGGAAGAAATTTAGTTGCCAGTAATGTATCAACTATAAAACTGTCACACAAATTTCTTGGGATTTTAAAAGCTTGTAGTTAGTGCTTTAAATTACTATTACCCAATTACATGACTTTTTATTGCTTCATCAAAAGGAAAACTGATACTAACTAATATAAATGACTAAGTAAATAAAGTAGAAAGTAATGAAATCTAAACACAACTGTAAGAGTCTTTAAATTTCAAAACAGGAAAACTCCTCAATCCATCTCCGCACTCCTCCTGAATTGATCTAAGTGGCTCACATAATAGCTGGAGTCATATTACAATGTCATCTATTAATTAGCATTCATCTTCAGGTTAATTGTGCATTAAAAAAACAATAAAGAAATAAGTCAAGGTTAATCTTCATAACATTTTAAAACATATTGACTAAATAATTTTCAAATTTAAGAACCACCTTAATCTAGAAAAGACCATTTCTTTCTTTTTTTTTTTTTGAGGAAGATTAGCCCTGAGCTAACTACTGCCAATCTCCCTCTTTTTGCTGAGGAAGACTGGCCCTGAGCTAACATCCATGCCCATCTTGCTCTACTTTATACATGGGATGCCTACCACAGCATGGCTTTTGGCAAGTGGTGCCATGTCCGCACCCAGGATCTCAACTAGTGAACCCCGGGCTGCTGAAGCGGAATGTTGAAACTTAACTGCTGCGCCACCAGGCTGGCCCCTAGAAAAGACCATTTCTTAATAGCACATATCCATTTGATAGAATGTAATTAGTATTGAAGAGTATCTCGTGATGAAATTAATTGCAGTCTCCAAGGTCTGAAACAAAAGATAAAGCTGGAAATCCACTCTCTAAAATTATATTGGAAGAAAAAATAGTGTTGTTTAGAAAATGTCTGACTTAAAGGGTCCTGTACAACTTCTTCATGTTAAATTACGTTTTAACTTGTTTACATCAGCCAGACTGAATTTATTATAAGAGATTTGCAAAAGAGTGATTAGATAAAATAATTCTAAGAGAGAGCATTTGCTTGTTACTCTCAATTCATTGCAATGAATTCAGTTGTGATGAGGTAAAAGGGACAATTCAGGGAATTCTCTCAGGATCTTCAGTTAATGATTGCAGTGAATGAGGAGAATTTTCTCCCAGGTAAACATGTGGCCCTCAAGATCTGGGGTGTAGGCACTTCATGGCCTCCTCAGATTTGACAGAGTGAAAGTCCTGTTCTTGTGGGCTTCAGTGCAGTGGGTCAACACCTCCATATTTCCCATGAGCAGTAGGAGCCATCATCTACATCTTGCTGTATATTCTGTTAGGTGACTGGCTTTGCTTGCTTAGCATTGTGCTTTTGAGCATCCTCTGCATTACTGCATACGTCAGTAGTTCATATGTTTGTGGCTGTTTAGTATCACATAGGATGAATATATTTGAATTTGAGTTGTGTCCAGTTTTTGATTATAAGAATGAAATTTCTATGAATGTTTTTATACATGTATTTTAGTGGACACATGTGCTCAATTCTCATGTATCACGTATAACTAGGAGTAGGATTTCTGGAAAATAGGGTAGGCATATGTTCATTTTAGTGGATGTTGATTGTTATAGCTTCTTGATAAACTGACCCTTTTATCATTGTGGAATGTCCCTTTTTATTGTTGGAAGTGCTCTTTGCTGTAAGGTCTTTTATCCCCCTTAATGTTAACATAGGCATCTCAATTTTATTTTGGTTAGTATTTGCATGGCATGTTTTCACAAAATTTTACTTTTAACCTCTAGGTGATTTATAAAGCATATTTCTTGTAAACAGCATAATGTTGGGTATGTTAAAAGTTACTAATATGTTTGGGTTAAAGTAATCACCTTGATAGTATCATATTTGTTCCATCTAGGGGTTTTTTTCTTTATACTTTCTTATCTGATCACTATTGTATGAACAAATATTTATTGTTCCATTTTACTTCTTTATTCACATTTTTGTGATTCTTAGTATTCTTTTTTCATTGGCTACCTAGAAATTAATACATCCTTAACTTACCAAAGTCTACCTCACGTTAATACAGTTATATATCCAAAAAGATGCAGGAATATTTTAAATGTTAACACTTTATCCTTTTCTTGCCTTTTTTTCTGTTTTCACGTACTCTACTTTTACTTCTGGTAAAAATCCAAAATGCATTGTCCTTATTGTAGCCTTAAAACAATCAGTTGTCTTTTATAATGACCTTTATATTTACTCTTAATGGAACTATTCATTTCTTCTTACTCTTTCTTCCATCTGTGATCATTTCCTTTCAGCCTGAATAACTTCCTTTAACATTTCTTTTAGTTCAGATATGCTGGTCATTATTCACTAGACCTTTTTTTTTCCTTCACCCCAAAGCCTCCCAATATATAGTTGTAGGTCCTTCTGGCTCACCTGTGTTGGACGCCACCTCAACAGGGCCCGACGAGTGGTGCTAGGTCCACGCCCAAGATCCGAACTGGTAAAACCCCAGGCCGCTGAAGCAGAGCGTGGGAACTTAACTGCTCTGCAACAGGGCCAGCCCCTCAGTAGGCCTTTTCTTTTTCTTTTGTTTTTAGTGTCTGAAAACACTTGTATTTCAACTTCATTTTAGAAAATTACTGTCCCTGGGTATAAAAATCTAGGTTGGCATTTATAGGTTTTTTTGATACATTAAGAATACATTTCAATATTTTCTGACTTCTATAATTTCTGCTGAGAGGTCAAATTTTTTTCTTTTACTGCAGTAAATGTGTCTTCTTTCTCCAGTTACTCTTAAGATTGTTTCGTTATCTTTGCTTTTCTTCAGTTTGACTATGATGTGCTTGCAGACTGTTTTATTTATATTTATCCTGCTTGAATTTAGCTTAACTTTTTAAATTCATGAGTTGGTATTTTTATCAAATTAGAAAAACTTCATCATTGTTTTTTAAAAAAAATTACTTCCAGGTCATTCTCCCCTTCTTTTGGTATTCCAATTATATATAGGTGAAACTTATTGATGACAGCCCATATTTCTTTTGTTTCTGCTCTTTTTTTCATTATTTTTCTCTGTGTACTTTAGTTTGTATATTTTCTCTTGACTAAATTTGACTTTATGAATCTTATATTCTCCAGGGTCTAGTGTGCTGAGTTCATAAAATGACTACTTATTTTGAGATACTGTATTTGAATTCTTGAAATGTATATTTAATTATGTTTTATAGATTCTAAATATCTGTTGAATAATCCATTGCCTTATTCATTTTATCCATATCTTCTATATTTAAAACCATAGCAATTATAATTATTTTGGAGTTCTTGTCTGTTAAATTCAGAATTAAATCATTTTTATCTGCTTCTAATGACTAGTTTCTTTTTTTTTGAGGGAGATTATCCCTGAGCTAACATCTGCCACCAATCCTCCTCTTTTTTGCTGAGGAAGAGTGGCCCTGAGTTAACATCCATGTCCATCTTCCTCTACTTTATATGTGGGATGCCTGCCACAGGATGGCTTGACAATTGGTGTGTGAGTCCGCACCTGGGTTCTGAACCAGCGAACCCTGGGCTGCTGAAGCAGAATATGTGAACTTAACCACTGTGCCACCAGGCCGGCCCCCATGACTAGTTTTAGTCTCCAATCAGTTGTTCTATATGTTAAGTTTTTTTTACTGTATATTGAGTATTTTGTATGATATGATACACTGTAGAGTATTTGGAACTGCATCACATCTTGAGTTTTGTTTATTCAGCAGTTAAATTCTCGGCAGTTTACTTTATCCTGCTAAGACTTGCTTTAAAGTTTTGGTGAGGAGGGTCTAATTCAGTTTTGCCTGTGTTGCTGCTGTGTACTCCCTTTCCTTTTTGGGCACAGCCTTTCCTGCTTTTAAAGAAATCATCTGAAGAGTTGACAAGGTCTCTCCACTGTGGCTGGGCTGGAACTACAACCTCTCTCCAGCTCCATACAAATTCTTGAGTCACTTTGCAGCTCCCAGATCTCAGCAGATATTCTAGGCTACGTTTCCTTTGATGTCATCCTGTGCGTCTAAGCCAAGGACCAAGGAGAATTCTTTCACATATTCTTGGAGGTCCTTCTTTGTGGAGTACTTTTTTATCTTGCCTCCAAATCTTATTAGCATTAGGAGATATAAATTTTGATCTCTGTTCTCTCTGACCAGTCAGACACTAACTTTCCATTGCCCAAACGGGAAAGAGCTACACAATAGCAGCAAAGGCAAAACGGAGTTAGACTCTCTCACCAAAGAGGAGAGGTCAAACTCGCCTCTGGAAAACCTCTGAAGGCATGCTGAAGACATCACTTTCTCCCCAAATAATGTATGCATTTTATGCAATCCCAAACAAAAAGCCGAGAGATATTATATGAAACTTAGAGCTAATTCTAAAATTTACTTGGAAGCTTAAATAAGTAAAACCAGAAAAAAAAAGATAGTATTTTTTCAGCTGTGTACTCCCATGTAAAAAATCATCTCAAGACTTTTTGGCTTAAAACAACAAATATCCATTTGTTTGGTCATGATTCTGTGGTTGGAGCAGGGCTCGATGACACAGCTTCTCTTTTCTCCATGTGTTGTTTGCTGAGGAACCTCAACGAGGGCTGGAAGATATGAGATGGCCTCATGCACATATCTGATGTCTCATCTTGCATGTTTGACACATCTGGGGGGTCTTTTATCTCCCTTCATAATTTCTTAACCTTTAGAATCTTTCTTTCCATGTGTAGACATGCTTTAAAGCAGTATAGATGGATTCTTAACCTGGCAATTGCCTTCCCTGAATAAAATTAGAAACTGCAAGGAAGGTCTCTTAAGGCATGAGTTCATAAGTCCCAGATAATCATATTTATTTCATTAAATTACTCAAAAAAGTCACATTGTTTGAGAAGACAAGTGGGAGAAATAGACTTCATTCTTAATGGAAGAAGCATATGCTTATAGGAATGACCATTTTTGCAGTTAATCTACCACAATTAGCCTCGTAGTTAGAGAATATTATTTCTTTGGACTCAAGCTGAAATACAAGCTTTACATTGCCTTATACTTTGTTCGTTTATAATATTTTTGTATATAAAAATAAAAGGTCTTTAGTGGGTTTTGAGCATTATGTAGAATCCTGCAACTAGCCTGCATGGCAGCATGCCTCCACCAGTGGTGTGTTTTATTTCACTAATGGACTGCATCCTCGTGTGTGAAACTTGCTTCCTCTCCTCTTGACTGTGGCAGCTCCCACTGGCCAAAGGGCTCTTGGGCCTCTTATTAAATGTTAGTTAAAAAGAAATACATAGAGGGGCCAGCCCTGTGACTGAGTGGTTAAGTTCGAGCGCTCAGCTGTGGTGGCCCAGGGTTTCGCCGGTTTGGATCCTGGGCACGGACATGGCACCACTCGTCAGGCCACGTTGAGGTGGCGTCTCACATGCCGCAACTAGAAGGACCTGTAACTAAAATACACAGCTGTGAACTATGTACCAGTGGGATTTGGGGAGATAAAGCAGAAAAAAAAAAAAGATTGGCAACAGTTGTTATCTTAGGTGCCAATCTTTAAAAAAAATATGTATGTTTGCAGTAATAAAAACAGTAAAGTTCTAGTGTAGAAACAGATAATCAAATCAATGGAACAAAAGAGAATGTCCAGAAACAGACATGAATGTATTTGAAGATTATCTTTTAACCATTTAATATTAAAGACGGGAAAAATTGATACTGGAATAATTGATTATATGTTGTAAGATAAATTCAGAGCTCTGTATCACAGAAAACATAAGGTTTATTTTTTATAAATACTACCCACAGCAATTTTATATTATTCTAGACTGTAATTGAAGATGCTGTTCTTTTGTTATCTCCTAGTGGGGAAAACTCTGTAAGATGTGAAGTATAAAAGTCATAAAGAAAAAGAATAAATGATTTGGCTCTTTAAAATAAATACAAAACTCCGAATTATGAATGAACAAAGTAAAAAGAAAACAAACGATAGATTGGGAAGATAGTTTTGTGAAATATGTAAGAGGAATGAAACCAAAATACTTAATGCAAAAAGAGAATGATCCTACACATCAATATGAACATGACGTATAATCCATTAGAAATAAAGAGAAAGAACATGAGCAAAACTGAACTCTTTAGTGATGAGATAGTTGAATTTTTAACAAGATTTCACTATAAGTTTTGTCTGTTGAACAAGAAAAAAAATTAAAACACTGAGAATATTCTTATGGTTAAAGAAAATGTCTAGGAAATAGAATTGTCATACTCTATTGATGTCAGCATAAGTTAATACAAATTTTTGGAGAAAAATTTAATAATACCTACCAAAAACAATAATAGTTATAAAACACTTTTGATGAAGAATTTCCACTTATTCATAGTTTTTCTTAAAAATAGTCCTAAGCATATATACATGTACCTAGTTTGTAATATTGACATTTTGGTAAAAATTCATATTGGAATGATTAAATAATATATGGTATATATTAAGAAATAATATAAACGATTAAAATAATGGAGTAATAAAGCAAATTTCAGAATAGCATGCATGGCATTACTTTATTTTGCTTAAATAAAATTATATATATGTATATTGATATATATAAATGAAAGCTATTACAGGGATTTCTTTGTTTACTTTATATACCTTGCCATTGTTTCAGAATTTTAATTAGTAGTTACTGCTTTTGTAAGTTAACAAAGGTAAAAATTAGCAAAATGGCATTAAATTTTATTTGTGCTCCTCAGCCCTCTGACCATAGCTAATGTCCTAAATTTGAGCATGCTATTTTTCTAATCTGTAAAATGGAGAAGACAAATCAGGCTTGACTGGTGTTTGTGACAATTAAGTGAGCTAACGTATATGTAGAGAACTCTCTATGTATTCAGTCAAGTTGGCGCTCTTAAGCCTTGCTGACTTTGCATGTTTCGAAGGATATTTGCTCCTTTGTTCATAAAGACATTTTCCTTTGTGTCCCATGGAAAGCACTAAGAGTTGCCATGTAGGCATTCAGTTCCCTTGTGGGCAAATTATTAGGGTTATTGCCTAAGAGGCACCTTGTCCAGAAAAAATAATGTCTCTTTGCTTCAACCTATGTGGAGTCTCTGTTTTTCATTAACTATAGAATTATACTCAATTAAAAAAATGTATATCAGGAGAAATAAAGTAATCTATCAAAATCATTTCTCAAAAGTATCTCACATTGTTTATTCCTTTTTTTTTTTTTGAGGAAGATTAGCCCTGAGCTAACTACTGCCAATCCTCTTTTTGCTGAGGAAGACTGGCCCTGAGCTAACATCCATGCCCATCTTCCTCTACTTTATAGGTGGGATGCCTACCACAGCATGGCATGCCTAGCGGTGCCATGTCCGCAGCCGGGATCTGAACTGGCGAACCCTGGGTCTCTGAGAAGTGGAACATGCGAACTTAACCACTGCACCACCGGGTCAGCCCCATTCCTATTTTTTATGTCAGATATTAATTTATGAAAATCAAAATATTGGCTAATTGCACTGTGACATCAGGTCAGATTCTGAGATTCTATTGGAAACTCATGGTTTTTGACTCTGTGTGTACAGGTGTATGTATGTCTTGTGGATAAGTTACCAAGGAAATGGACAAATGCTGTGGTTCACCAATGCCATCTTTGCATTTAAAATTCTAAAAGGCAGAGCATCTCTAAGTTTCTTTTTTTTAACTGAGTTACAATTGACATTATATTACATTAGTTTCAGGAGTACAACATAATGATTCTCTATTAGTATATACCGTGAAATGATCACCATAATAGATCCAGTTAACATCCATTACTATACATAGTGCATTCAAAATTCTAAACAGCAGAGTGTCTCTAAGTTTCTTTTGTGAAGGAATCATAGGAAATCGTTAAAGTTTAAAACTTAATAGAAAAATGACCAAACAAGACAGGAAGTCGTAAAAAGAAAATAAAAATTTATTTTAAAGTTTTATTCTTCAAACAAATAAGGGCTTAATTACTGAGAGTCAGGTTTTCCTTGGTTAATTAAAGGCTAAAATAAATTTTTAATATATTATAGGACTATAATTGTCTGGAGCAGAAGAGAAAAGATTGATGTCTGGATGAGAACAAGAGAACTGAGAAGATTAAATTATTTCAGTATGAATCAAATCACTCATCTCTTTTCTGCTTATTGGCTAGATCACAAAGACGGTTTTACCGACTCTGACTTTTTATGTCACTGGCCATGTGGAATCCTTACATGCTGCTAGGTCCCCTGTTCTCATATTTCATAGAAGTTCAAAGTAAGATGATATATCGCAATTTGCATTTATCCTAGAGTTTGTATAGGTGTTGCATTTTAGTCTACTATTCGGGAACATATGTAACACATGGTACAAGGTTAAAATGAGGAAAATAAAATGAAAAAATGTAGTTTTTTGTTGTTGCTTTTGTTTTTTGTGTGTGTGTGCTTGTGCTTCAATAAAGCTGGACTACTTCAGTGGTATTGCCCTCACACAAGGGTCAATATTCAGAAACGTGTCATCCAGAATTCCGGAGAATAAACATCACAGATAATGACGATTTAGGTTGATAAATTTGAATTCCAAAGTTGGAGGGATATGGAGACTAAGAAAGTGAGATTTACATTTTAATAAAAGTAGGGGTGTGGGGGACTAAGCCAGACCCAGATGAAGTGGGAAATTCATGCCTTGTGTGTCTCATTCTCTGTGGTGGATTTTGGTGACACTTTCTTTGCTTTCTAATCTTCTCCAAATAGAAAACCCACTTTATTCTGAAAACAATTCTTAGAGCTTCCTTGTCATGGGATTTCTGTTAAGGATGACATGAAGGCAGTCAAGGAGAACCACGCTTGATATATGTCATGACAGAGCACGATGAGAACATCATGCAGAATTAAATTTGAAGCATCTGACTTATTTAATATTAAGTGATGAGTACAGTTAAAAGCTTCCAGGGAAGTAGGGGCCAGGAGATAATTCTATCAATAATCTATTTTACAAGTTGTTTGGAACATAAAAATTTTAGGAAACATTGATCCCTACAGATAATTATGTGTAGATGTTAGCTATTTTTTGACACATTTTCCACTGAATGAGAATTCATTGTTAGTTGAAGTCATATCTGGATAATAAAGGTAAAATTGAGATTTAATAATAATAATAGCCAACATTTATCAAGTGTGCACTAGGCACCAGGTATGGTTTTAAGTGTTTGAAATATATTAACTTAATTCTAATGACAAAAATATGCATTTTAAAATGATGAAACCAGACAGAACAAGGCAAGGTAACTTGCTTGTCAGACGGTTAGAAAGACCTAGTGTTGAGAATTAAACAGCCAGAATGGTTCCAGTGTATGGCTAAACATTGTATGATGTTGCTTCTAACATAATTATTTGATTAATCTGATTTTCCAGGTAGCCAATTTATTTTCCACATCCATTTTTTATCATCTAAAAGCATCTGGTTTTCCATTACATTTTATAACATCGAAGATAAGTTTGAGTCTAATTTAATCATTTTATTACTACAAGCTCCCTAGTTTCACTCATTCTACCTCTTCTATTTTACCCACTTTGTGATTTCTGGTCATTAGTACCAGCCTTTTCTGTCGTTTCTCCCTTCTCTATCCACTCAACACTTGCTGGTACATTATTGCAAAAAGTATTTTCCTAGTTCTGAGTTATAGACGCATAGTTTAAGAAGTTCCTCAGCTAGTTCTGACATTCTCCTCCTCTTTGCCTTCTGAGGAGCCCTGGATTAACTCAGCCATCTGCCTCCTCTGCTTCGAAACCTGCACCCTCATTACTGTGCACCACTAGAGAAACCAGATGAGCTTGCAGATTAGTACCATAGCAAATTTATGGTATCCAAACTCAGGGGTAACCACAACTGCCTGGCAATCCCATTGCATTTTTCTTATCTGGCCTATTTCCCATTCCCCTCAGCAATTATTCCAGCCCTTCTTCATTTTCTTTAAATCCCCAGCCCCAATAGACTCCATCTTACTCCATCAATTACTCTCATTTTATGTTGTACTTTTAGGCTCCTCTAAGTAGATATACCACACCAGCACACCCACACTCATACAAATACACATATATCGAAAGTTGAATATGTACTTATAAACATCTATGCATAAATATTTATGTATATATGTGTATGTTCAACTTTTGACATAAATTCAGCCACCTTCTTAAAAGGCTCTCATCCCCTTATTTCCCAATTTCTTTCTATTTTCTTTATTTTCAGCCACTTCTCAGTTTCTTCTATAAGCACCCCCTTTCCTTAAATGATGAAGCTCCTCAGGACTGTATTTAAACTTTAAGTCTTTTTGTTCGAAATTAGAGGTGTTTAAATTATTGTCCTGAAATGGGTTTTAAGGACACAATAAAACTCCTGAAGCTATATATTTAATATTGTATATATGTACCTTTTTCTGAAGAGGAGATCCGGAATGTTAGAATCAGAATGCGACTCAGTAAAGAATATGAATCATTGTTCTAAGACACTTTCCCTGTGCCCTTCCATCTTGGCCTATTGTTCTCTTCACTACTAGTAGGTAGATGACTTCTACATTTATTTTCCTGCTTGGACTCCTGTCCTGAGCTAAGCCTGTGACAATGAAATATCTTCACCTCGACATCTCAGAGGCACCTTAAATTGAACAAGCCCTGAACTGAATTTACTGATTTTATTAATAAGCCTATCAAAAACATTCTTCATGTTTGTTATAATGTTTTTGATCTCTAGCATTTCTTTTTGATTCTTAGAATTTCCATCTCTTCATTACATTGTCCTTCTGTTCTTGCGTGTTGTCTCTTTTTTTCCATTAGGGTCCTTAGCATATTAATCATAGTTACTTTAAATCCCAGCCTGATAATTCCAACATCCCTGACATATCTGACTCTGGTTCTAATGCTTCTTCAATCTCTTCAAACTTTTTTTTTTGGCTTTTAGTATGCCGTGTAATTTTTTGTTGAAATCTAGACATGGTGTATCCAGTAAGAGGAATTGCTGTAAATAGGCCTTTAGTACTGCGGTGGTGAGATGTCGGGGAGGGGAAGCGTTCTATAGTCCAATAGGAGATTTCAGTCTTCTGGCGAGCCTGTGCCCTGGACTGTGAACTTCACCACTGCTTCTCAATTTCTTTCCCCCTCTTATTGGGACAGGATGACTAGAAGGGGCTAGAATTGAGTATTTCCCTTCCACCAGGAAAGTTAGGCTCTGATAAAACTCCAGCACATTAGCCTCTGGGAAAAAAGATTCTCCTGAGGTCAGGCCTTGCTAAGAAAAATGTAATGCTCTGGCACATTTCAAAATGGTTCCTTTCCCCCGCCGCCTGCCAGAAGAGTGAACGGGTCTTTCTCTGATATTTATTGTGAGCACTTGGTAGAGCTCCTGGAGGTAAAACTCACGAAAGTCTGGGTGCTCTCTTATAACTGGGCCTCCTGGATTTTGTTTAATCTCAGACTTGTCCACAATGAGCCTCCAGCAAGTCCTCAATTACAGTTTGGATTTTCCTAGCCAGGCACTGGTTCCGTGGAAATTTCTGTTCCCATAAGTTGTGAGTCTCTGTATCCACCTGTCTGTCTCTCCAATTTTTGACACAGCAGTTTGCTCTGGGACCTCACCTCTCAGAACTAAGAAGAGTTGTTAATTTTTCAGTTTATTCAGTCTTTTACTTGTTAGGACACAGTGGTGACTTCTAAGCTTCTTATATGTCAGATTAGAAACCCTGTTAGCTGTATTAAGATTTTATCTCCTTTTCCTATTTTTTAGCTCAGTGAATGCCACCATCAGCATGCGTTTGTCCAAGGGGTCTACCTAGAAGCCATCCCAGACATCTCCCTTTTTCTCACCCTGACACCTTACCAGTAGCCATATCTGGTCAGACCATGTCTTAAATATCTCCAACATTCCATTCTACTTCTCAGTCCTTTCAATCACTGACTTAGCTCAAGTCCTCATTATTTTGCATATGAAATAGTCTCTTCCTCCAGTCTCAAAATTCTCCATACTCTAACCAGAAACATTTTTCTGGAAAAGAAGTTTAATTATGCCCTTCCTCTGTCTAACATTTGGATGCATGCCTCTCTTAGTATGTTCAGGTTGCTTCAACAAAAATTCCATAGATTGATTGGCTTAAACAACAAATACTTATGTTTCATAGTTCTGGAGGCTGAGAATTCCAAGACCAAGGTGCCAGCAGAGTGAGGGCCCACTTCCTGGTTCATAGACAGCTGTCTTCTAGCTATGTCCTCACATGGTGGAAGGGACAAAGAGACTTTCTGAGGTCTCTTTTATAAGGGCGTTAATCCCATTCCTGAGGGTTATACCCTCACGACCTAATCACCTCCTAAGAGCACCACCTCCTAATATGGTC